GATGGGCCATGGAGTCCCAGCCCCACCTGACTCTGCTCTATGCTCCAGACACATGTCTCGCATGATGGTCACTCAGCATTGTTCACTGTTCCCTCTGTGTGTCTTGGTGTCTCTTTCCTTTTGTTCTGAGAACACAGTTCCACTGCACCTGTCATCAAGAGAGCCTTGTCCTTGGTCAGGTGCTCCTTGTGCTCTGCTGTTCACGTGTCCTCAAGGAGTGCTTGACAGAGACCTCCCTGGGATGCCATATCAGCTGTTCACACGCTTCTCACTTTCCTTCTTTCATGAGATTAGCTTCTGGTTCAGCTGAGCAACAATGTGGGGCACCTACCCCCAGGGTGCCAAGGCCTCCAGGGTAGGTGGGAAATCTGTTGCAGGTTCAATACGTCTTCCCATAGGGGAAATACTGCCGTACATGTCACTTCTAAACAAATGCTCTTCACCGATCCCACCTGATGGATGTGGTGACGAGACATTTAAGGAATGATGAGTTGGAGGGGTGGTTGAGGACAAGCCTCCTCAGTGCCCCCTGTCTTGTCTGGCCCTCTGTGACCCCTTCAACCTTATGAACAGAATTTTACACTTAGCACATAGACTCAGTCTTACTTTCTCATCATTCTGAAAGACGTAGGTGCCACCAGGCAGCAAAGTGGGGTTCAGTGTCCCACATGACGTGTTTTGAGTCCCAGCCCCAACACCTGTTAGCTAGGTGACTTCAAGCCAGTGGTTCTCAGTGTGTGTGTGTGTGTGTGTGTGATTTTACCCCCTCCCCCCATGGGGGACATTGGGCAATGTCTGCGGGCATGTTTGGTTGTCACACTGCAGAGGGTCCTGGCATCTAGTGAGGAGAGACCAGGGGTGTCTGTGCATTTTACAATGGACAGGACACCCCTACAGCAGAGAATCATCCAGCCCAAGATGCCTGAACACACAGCTTAACCTCTCTGGCCTTGGTTCCCTCGGCATGCAGTGAGGGAGTAGAGGTCAGGGAGGGTATTCTAAGTGTTAGAGAAGGCAGTTAAAAGGCCTCTGGTGGCGTACGTCATTTACGCTCAACCTACAGGTCGCCACTTGAACCTACCCAGCGGCTCTTTGGAGGAAAGTGCTGGTGACCTGCTTCTTTAAGATCCAAGCGCCATCGCTGAACATTTTGATCAAAGGTTCTCTAGGAGGATCCTGATCAAAATGGGGAAAATGCAGAACATATCTTTAAATTCTCATGAACCCTGGACTTTCTAGAGCCAAGGGGCCTGGATGAACCCCTGAAATCATTGCCCTGAGTTAATCTTTACAACCAAAAATGTCCCCTGAAGTCTTAAACCCAGGATCATGTGACAACAGCAACTCAAAAGGTTAGACAGAAGCCTTAGGTGCAGTGCATTGATGTCAGTGAGGGAGGAGCAACTCAGAGAAGGAGGTGAGGATGGTGGCCCAGGTCGAAGAGCATCATCAGTGTCACTGGATTGTACGTGTAGACACTGTTGACTTGATGCGTGTTTTGCTGTGTAGATTCTCAACAACAAGATAAAGTTTAGGAAGCAGGAAGGACTGCAGCTGAGAAAACCCTACGGAGCAGTTCTCTGGGCCACGTGGTTCACCAGGAGTGGGACTTGACCCACGGCAACCACCAACAACGTTTTTCAAACACCTGATGTGAGTGCAGTGGCGCCAGCATGTAGAAACGGTTGTTACTCTAGAGATTATGCATCAGTTCTTCCAAAAAGGCCGTTAGTACCGCACTCGGGGGGCAGCTCAACCTGCCACAGGTGCCACCGAGCACCTGGCCACTGTGAACAGATCTGCGCCAAGAAAACAGAAGAAAGCTCCACCCTCAAGGACTAACCCCCCAAGGCAGGTGCTTTGTTCCCCATTTTACAGCTGAGAGACCTAGGCTCTGGGGGCTAACGTGGTGCCCAGGATTTCAGGGCACACATGGGCTCACCCCTGACTAGCCTGTCTGCTTCCCATTCTTTGTTGTCAGAGTCTGATATTAGAAAAACCAGGGGCATAGCACAAGAGGGCTGAGGAAGTGCCCGGGGGCATGGCATGTGAGGGCCATCCAGGTCCCCAGTGGCCCTTTACGGCTCAGCTCTGTGCTAATGCCATTGATTAGTTAACAGTTGCACCCATACCCCCATCTCTACAGTATTCCTTGCAGTGACACCCACACCCTCCCTCTCCTCAGTGTCCCCTGCAGTCACACCCACACCCTCCTTCTCCTCACTGTCCCCTGAAGTCACACCCACACCTCCCTCTCCTCAGTGTCCCCTGCAGTCACACCCACACCCTCCCTCTCCTCAGTGTCCCCTGCAGTCACACCCAC